CTTTGCGTCTGCGGGAGGCCCACAGCGGGACGGTGCTGCTGCTGGCCCGGTCGGTCGCCCGTGACCGTGCGACACCGGGAGAAGGCGACGCATGGCCTGTGCCCGTCTCGCTCGCACAAAAGGGCTTTAATAATTTCAGGGACAAGGCAGCAGGAGGACGGCGTCTAAGCATGGGTTCCAGTGGGCAGTTAACAGACTGTCATCGGGTTGGACGTATGGGGGGGCGCTGCGGCCAGGTGCGTGGCCTCCTCGACCCGGTGCTGGAGATAAAAGGAAGCCGGCGGCGGAGACAGCAGCGCGGCAGATGATAAGGTTTCTAGACGAAAGAGTTGGCCAACTTGTGCTGTACGTACGCATGGAAATGGACACCACCGTCACCACAATATTATTATAGTCATCTAGTTTTTGGAGTCATATATACTTGTGGCACAGCTTAATCATGCAAGGGTACCGTGTACGGATGGCAAACAAATCAATCATTTCGTTTGTTGTATGAGACCGCCAAAAGGATTCAGGTGTTGGTCTGGGAGACTGGGACTTTGGGGTCCCATAATGATACGACGGTCGTCTGGACGGGAATGGACGCACCCACTCGCTCTTCCCCTCTCCCCCGCAGACATTCGCTCCCGCTTGCCCGCACCGCTCTCCGGCCGCCCCTAGGACGGGATGCCCCACCCGCACGCGAGCTCACTGCCGCCTCCGCCCGCCCGTGCTCCCTCCCTCCGTCCGTCCCTCCCTCCCCCCTCCCCCGCGACCTCCATGTCACCCCACGCTCCTTAGCGACTCCGCTCCCGCTCCTCACACCGGAGACGAGGACGACCGGGGCGGCTCCGACGAGGTAGGTCGGTCCTTCTCTGAATCTGAGCTCCACTCCTCCTCCTTTGGATCTGAGTGCTCCCCCTCTTCCTTCTCTGGATCCTCCTCCTCCTCCTCTGGATCTGGATCCGGATCTAAGGGACGTGGCGGTGGCTAGGGTTCCGACGAGCTTTGTTGTAGTAGCCTTATTTTGTTGTTGCAATAAGTAATATTTGTTTGCTGCATTAGTCTCTTTTTTTGTTTTCTGATGTTGCATCTCGCATTGTAGCAGCCTTATTATGATGTTGCAACAAGTAATAATTGTTTGTTGCATTAGTCTCTTTTTTATGTTGCTTCTCGCATTACGCTTTGTTTGTTGTTGCAGTAGCCTTGTTCTGATGTTGCAACAAGTAATATTTCTTTGTTGCATTAGTCTCTTTTTTCTGATCTTGCATCTCGCATTGCAGTAGCTTTATTCTATTGTTGCAATTGTCTTGTTCTGATGTTGCAAACAAGTAATACTTCTGATGTTGCATCTCGTATTGCTCCGTGTTGCAACAGATCTTTCGATGGAAATTTTCTCATTCGGGTGATGGAACACAGTGGGGATGAGGCATGGAGGGCAACGGGCGTGCAATGGAAGGCGGCACGGCGGCGCAGCGGGGGACGGGCCGCACGTGGGGGGCATGCTCGTTATATTGCATCGGATAGGTGGTCCCGTAAGGCGTTCGGACGCGTGCTCGCTCCGGACACTACCGGATACAGGAGCTTTGCTGAGTGCCAAGGGCACTCGGCAAAGCCCCAAAAACACTCGGCAAAGCGTTTGCTGAGTGTAACACTCGGCAAACGACACTCGGCAAGGGTTGTAACGGCAAAAAGCTGTTTGCCGAGTGTCAAATGTCGGGCACTTGGCAAAGACTATGCCGAGTCCCCAAAAAACAATAGGCAAACATTTTTCGGAAAAAAAATAAAAAAACAAGTCGCCGGCCACCACCACCACCACCACCGCCGGCCACCACCACCACCACCCCGCCACCACCACCACGCCGCCGCCTGCCGCCTCCTCCTCCGCCGGATCCGCCATCGGAGGGCACCTCCCACCGGATCCGCCGCCTCCTATTCTTGCTCCCACCGGATCCGCCCTGCCCCACGCCGCTTGCCCCCCCGGATCCGGATCCGCCGCCTGACTTGCTCCTCACGGATCCGCCCGCCGCCGCCGTGGATCTGATCACCGGAGAGGGAGAGAGTGAGGGAGATGAAGAGAGGAAAAGAGAGGGAGATGGGGAGAGCTGACCTACCTTAGACCCACGCCGGCCACCGCAACCCCATCGTCGTCGGATCTGAGCCCCAGCAGCCGGATCCGACGCATGCCGCCGTCGCGGGGCCCACCCGTAGCGGATCCGCCACCGTGGAGCTCCCCTTGGCCCTCCTCGCGGGATCCAATGCCAACCGCCATTGCGAGGACCACCCGCTGCGGATCCGTCGGCCTGGTGCTCGCCTTGGCCCTCCACGCCGGCGGGGGAATAAGGGAGGGGAGGGGCGCCCGCTGGGGAAGAAGAAGGGGGAGGGGAGGGCGCGGGCGGGCGGATCTGGGGAGCGAGGAGGAGAGGGAGGGCGAGGAGAGAGAGGGGGCGGGCCGATCTGGGGAGGGAGGAGGAGAGAGAGAGGGCACGGGCGGATCTAGGGAGGGAGGAGGAGAGAGGGCGCGGGCGGATCCGGTTAATTAAGTAGGTTTTTTTCTTTGTCGAGTGTCCTAGATTTGGACACTCGGGAAAGTTTTTTTTATTTTTTTTCTTCTCCTTTCCTAGAAAAAAGGTTGTATTTCTTTGCCGAGTGCAAAAAATAAAACACTCGGCAAACTCCCTCTTTGCCGAGTGTTTTTTTTTTTTGACACTCGGCAAACCTTCTCTTGCCCGAGTGTTTTTAACGCAACACTCGGCAAAGAACTTATTCACCGAGTGCCCAAGGGAATACAGTCGGCAAACCTAAAAATGATAAATTTGACGTTTTCGGTAGTGGGATGTCCGGACGCTAGTTGCGTCATTTGGGGTCTACTGTCTCTTAACCTTTCTGGAGGCCCATCTTTTGTAGAGGAAAGGAATCCGAATTGAACTGCAGCGCTTGGGGAGTTGGGGTAAGCAAGCCCACAATATCAAATATAACAGATGATGTTAATTCTGCTGCTCGCTTCGGCTTGTGCTGCAGCTATACCTAATCCAACGTCGGGGGGCCAAAAGACCTGGCGTTTCTTTGGTTGGTCCAAGCCCGACCCGAGTCTAACGTTGGGTCAAATTTTTTTAGCACGCACTCACTCAACGAACGTGTTGAGTTGGGTTGAATTATTTCTCGGATTTTCGTGTTGTATAGATCAAGTCTTAGATTAAAAATTGCAACCCGTACTGACTCAAAGATTGTTACGAGTTGAAATCATGGCCTGAACCTATCCAATGTTTTAGACTTTTAGTCGAGTCAGATTGGTCGGATCGTTCGGCCATGAATGACCCTATCTGCAGTTGCATGCCTACTGCTGTGCTGTGCCATACTGTTAGCTATACCTTCTGCAGCTGCAGCAATCTGTTCCGATCAGGCTGAATGGCTGATTACAGACTTTTTTATGTAGATCTCGAGTCTTGACAATGGTAGTGTTCCTGTATGGTCTTTCGGGATTCAAGTGCAGGCATGTGGATGCAACTGCCAGCTTCTACGGCATCTTTAATTGTTTCAGTTGAGTTCACTTAAGCGGACGACAGGTGAAGACAAGTTGATTTTCTTCGTAACAATTTTGAATTGCAGTCAGTCAAATGCCAATACCAACCGAGCACCTTCCTATTCATCTTCAAGAGTACATCGACCTTGTCCCTGTCTGCTACATACCATTTCGGAATATGACACCGGCAATTTCCATTCATAAATCATGGCAGCCGCGAGCCTATGCTCTACATCGGCATCGGCATCTAGTGAAAAGTGCATCAATGATGACAAACGATGTACATATATCTCAGCATTACTTACATTACAATGAAACAAAACAGTAAAGAGACGAGCCTGTCAACATTCACTTCAGTAGGTTCTTTTCCAACGGAAAATTTGTACTTCTTTCCAGTAAAATCTTCAGACTGATGAGTACATCAACCCAAATCGCTCTAGGTTGCAATACGTGTAAAATCTGTTCTGTTCACTGACTACACTAGAGCCCAGCGGGCATAATTGAACCTTATCGCCTTCAAGGCCAGCGCAGCATTGCAGGATTGCAGCCCGAATCTGATGACACGAAAGATCGCTAGTCGCTACCGGTTCTTTGATTGCTGACACCAATATCATTCTTCTCAATTGCGCTTTACTGGCCTTTGCACATACGACTTGTTCGGATCTTCAGTCTTAAGTTTTGGGGGTTTGATTTCACCTTTCCGTCCCTGCAGAAAGGAGTTTCCGTTTCAAATTCATGAATAGGAAGATATTACTTGCCATATGCACTAACCTTCTTTCCTGTCTTCATGAAATCCCTCCAGCTGGAGACCTACAAACCCAAAATCCATTGTATTACGCAGTTGGTACGTTTGAGCAAAGATAGCTGCACTATATACAGGTCACAGGGAATGAACTTTATGGCGTGAGGCGTGAGCACGACCTTAGTGACAATGCAGAAAAATCACTGTAACTCAAGTCATGAATGCATCTCTGAAACTATGGCCACTCTATGATGCACTTAGGCTAGGCTACAAGTATTCAGAAATTAACAAAGTGCTCTGATCCTTCAACCTTGCATTATTGCCTTGGGAATTGAGATTGATGAAGATTTCTCAAATGTTGTACCAAATGAAAGGACGCTAACCACCTCATGCTATGAAGAGTCAGAAATGGTAGCAGTACGTCACTAGAAAGAAATGGCAGTAGTACGTCACCAGAAAGGTACTCCCTCTGGTAAAAAAAAGGGTTTTTGGATTCATACCATTACAATTTTCGAAGTTTGGAGAAATACCATTACTATTCACCTATTCTAATTTCTAAACGTCACCATTACAATTCTTCTTTTGTTTGAAATATGCCATGGTATACGTCCGGAGAGGTCTTGGACCCACTTGCAGACGTACACGGTGTCATCGTATTTTGGTATGGACAAAACTACCCCTCCACCCTACTCTCTCTATGTCACTGATGTCTGGACCCCACTAGTCATCTTCTTCCTCCTCCCTTCTCCATCTGCTTCACTTCTCCATGGCCATGGTGTCCACCGTGTCCGCCCTACTCCAGGCCTCGCCGGCGTCCAGCCATGTCGCCCCGCCCCGCCCTGCTTGCAGCCTTGCCCGAACGCATGCCCCCACGCCTCCTTGGCCATCTCCACCAACACCTCCCACGCCGACGACAATGGCAGGGCGGAGCTCCCGCGCCGTCCTTCCGCCGGACGTGCTTGACGGCCAACTCCATGCCGGGCCTCCAGAACCTGAATGTGTAGACGTCCTGCAGGATCTCGTCCGCCATCGCACGAAGGTCAAACTACGGCTGCTGCCCATGGCGGCCATGGCGGGGCGGACCTCTAGGAGCTTGCCGAGGCTGCGCGGCAGCTCGCCGGTGAGGTTGTTGCTGTAGAGGGACAGGTTGACGAGCACCTTGAACTCGCCGAACTCTGGGGGCACCTCGTCATTGAAGCCATTGAAGAACAACTGCAGCGACACGAGCCGTGTGAGGGACCGGAGCTCGGCGAGGGTGCCAGTGAGGTTGTTCTGGGACGCGTTGAACGAAGTGCTGCAGCTTGGTGAGTCTGCCGAAGCCGGCGGGGGCGCGCCGCGGAGCGAGTGGTTGTAGAGCTTGAGCTGCGTGAGGTTGGTGAGCCTCGTGATCTCCGGCAGGATCTCGCCGGTGAGGTCGTTGTCGGAGAGCTCGAGGTCGACAAGGTTGACGAGGTCGCCGATCTCCGGCGGGATGGCGCCGCCGAGCTTCGCTGCAGACATGCAGAGCACGGAGAGGTTGGTGCGTCTCGTGACCTCAGCCGGGAACGCAGCGGTGGTGCCGGCGATGTAGAGGTGGATTGGTGGCTGCTGTTTGGGGAGGGAGAGGGGGAAAAGAGAAGATGATCACATGCGGGCCCCACAAGGCAGTGTCTTGGGGGTATTTTGGCCCATACGAAATTACTGTAGCCTGTTTGTGGGCCCAATATCGTTGGATACGTAGAATATGGCACAGTTCAGGCAACACAAGAATTGTAATGGTATAGTTCCAAATAGACGAATAGTAATGGTAGTTCTCAAAAGTTGCAAAATTGTAATGGTATCAATAAAAAACCCTAAAAAGTACTTGACACATTTCACTTTCCAGTCTTCAGTGCATATCTTTGACCACTAATTTCTTCTAGAATATATTCTGAAAATCATTTGAACTTAAGAGATTTTGCAGGTATTTTTAATACAGATCCACACATATAACCAACATGTTTCCAAACTAAATAGTGTAATAGTTATTTGATGTTCGTATTTTTTAAGGTTTGACCAAATCTAGCCATAAACAGCATGTGTTTGTGGCCAGAGGGAGTAGGCCACAAGTAATCCAGGGACTAAAGGTAGCATTTGAGGTAGTATCAGCTACTATGCAAAATGTCTACAAGCAGTACTGCATTATGCATCATAATCTTTCTCCTTTCCAGCTTTTGGTACATTTTTCAGTACGAGTACATAGACCTAATTTCGTACTGACATGTCAACAGAAAGCGAGGCATAGCTAACATTGTGAAATCTCTACATAGAATAGACTGCAAACATACCCGCTGGTCTCTGGTCTCCTCCCACTTCTCTTCATGCTCTCTCTTCCTCTTCCACATCTCTTTCGTTTCTTCCTCATCTTTCTTAAGTCTTCCTTCTTCCTCTGATATCTGTGCAATGCCCACATGAATATAGCTCATCCGACAAATTCGTTTCTCAAATGATAACATTAGGGAAAAAACACTCTACCCTCATTTGCATTTTTCTCCGACGCCATTCTTTCTCCGTCAAAATTTCACGTACTTTAATAATTAACTGCTTCTGAAATTCATCCGATCGTTCAAACTGCTCTTCATATTTTCCCTGGACATATGCAAGCAAATCATTAGAGGTTCTGAATTGTGGAAGATGCATGAAATCCAATAAGATATATCAAAGATTTCGCAGAGCCGAACCATTACCATAATATTTTGTTAATATCCAACTACTGAACCATGCAGATGATGTTTGCAAAATGAAACAGCTGATCACATGCATTGTGCATTCATTATAGATTTCAACAAACGAAGTTTCAGATACATGGAATAATTTTCTTTATGGATAGATGCTTTTTCTCAAGTTTGCATAGTCCAATCAAAAGTCACATCACCTTCCATAAGATTGTCTCACCTCATCTACGAGAGATTTTATCTTGGACGCACTGTCTTTCTTCAGCTCCTTTTTCCGTTTTGCCCTCAATTCTTCTGTATTTTTCAACACAAAGGAACATAAAATTTTGTTTAGTTCATAGTACCTCTACTTCAGTTGACTAAATCGTTATTGTCAATACCGTATATAAAAAAGATCAATTCACACCTTTTGCAGCAGTAACTTGGTCAAGAATGTAGCCTCTTTCCTGTGGATCAAGCAGGAGCTGTTGTGCTTTTGCCAGAGCTACACCATCAAGTGAATATATATCAACGAGCAAGGAAAAGAGATATACCATTCAAACATGGTCACTTTCAGTGGCGCTATGGCAGATTTAACTACAGAAGTCCAGATCTTACAAGCAGAGGTAGTGCAACGGTCCAAGATCTTTTCTCTAGAAAACCATAGGTCATACAGGAATACTCAAAATGAGCAATCCTAGGTTAACACCTTATTAGCACTACTATCTTAATGACCAAAACTAAAAATGCACAGATCCCATTTCTAAGATCATTTCTTTGTTGTTTAATTCTTTGAATAGTTAATCTATGCCTCACTGTGATATCAGGTACCATCCAATTAAATCCATCTCCAGTTCTTTTCTAGTATGAATTACGAACTTGTGCCCCTTTCCCCAACATGAAAATTTAAAAGCCTATTCATGCTGATGCTATCCATTTCAAAGTTATTTATTTATTCCGATTTGAAGGATATATAGAATTACCAACCGGCATATGTTCCTTGATGGTTTATAAATCGTACAAATCATATTTCAAAAACAAATCCATATATGCCTTACAGCAATTTAATGTGATACCATTTCACAACATGACAATATAATGAATTCTTGTAGCACTTTGCTTCTCATGTGCAGCAGTACTTTCATTACTGGCTCATTTCAGTACCTGCAAAAGCTTCTTGTGCCTGAGGATGCTTGCATTTATCAGGATGGACCAACAATGACAACTGCAGAAAGCATGTGAAACAAAAAATATTAGATCTACACAAAAAAATAAATCAAATGAAAAACTTCATAAATATCAAATCAATGTCTTTATACCTTCCTATATTGCTTTTTCACCTCATCTAGTGGTGAATCAAAAGACAACTTAAGATGCTCGAAGGGGTTTAACTTGAAGCAACCAAGTATCCTGATAAATTTAGGATGTGTAAGGCTATGGAACTATTGTTGACAAGAAATAACCAAATAGCATGACATTTCAACTGATCCATTTCTTTCAACAGAAAATATTCCCTATTTCCCATATACATGCTATTACAAACTTCTAATCTTTGTTGCAAATAAATACCACTGTATAATTTCAACTTATAAAAAGCATCATTGTATAAGTTGAAGGTTCATGTATAACTCTTTCTTCAATACTTGGTGTTACTTTTTTTTCCCAAAAACAGGGTAGTCTAGTCATGAACGATTTCTAAACAAGGACTGCAGATAATATTATACGACTACTTAACTCTATGATGACAATGCAAAAAAAAAAAAAAAAAAAAATTGAGGCCATAACAGTCTTCACAATGTGAATCTGCGATTCATTCAGACAATTAGAAAAGATTAACTTTAAATTCGAACAAGAGCATCTCCAGGAGTTTGGTATAATTTACTTGTTAAATAATAAATCTAGCATGTTAATAAAAGAAATAGCAATCTTAAATTTTGTTTTTCTCCAACAGTCTCCTATAAAAACTTGTTAAAAACTAAAGTAGGGCACATCAATTTGTTTTTTTTTTTGGTTTTACAGGAGACGATCCGTTCTGGGTACTGCCGCTGCCGTACGTCAGGCTGCTGCGCGCTGTTCCCTGCATCTGGCAACACCTGACACATGCCCCTGCCAACCAGCTGGCATGGGGTGCCCTGCCTGGTGCCTATCACAGGACCAGCAGGCACGCGATTCCCTGCCTGTTGCTGACGAGCACCTGGTCCGTTCCAGGGGCCTGCCGCTGCCCGGCGTCCGTGCATGTGAGGGGCCTGCCACCGCAGCCCAGCGTCTGGCAGCGCCGGGCAGCTGGCAGGGCGCGCTCAGATCGAGGCCTAAACCAGCCACTAGATCGAAACTAGTAGATCGCACCAACAAATACCTTGAGCCAAAAAAACACCACTCACGCCCGCGGAAACAATGTAATTGAGGAGGGATAAGGAGTTCTCTCGATTGCGGAAACTTACGAGTTAAGGAGGATATTTGGCAACTTTTTATTTTTGAGGAGCTCTTTTACCAAACTGTTGGAGGAGATAGTTTTTCTTTTTTTGCTAAAAAATAAAAATAGGAAGTTGTTTTACAAAACTCCTGGAGATGCTGTTAGGTCAGTCATCTAACTGCAAGGTCTACCTCCTGCCAACCAAACTTGAACAATTCCAATGCTCTGCTACTGAACTCAAACAACTACTGCTCAAAACCGTGCATTCTGTGTATTATATGGCTATAACAGGATATAATCATTGCATAAGGAAGTGGCAGAAGCCAATTTCCTGTACAACGGATTTCCACAGCAACAAAATAAATAATAATTATGGTGCACTTGACCAAAAAAAACAGTTAAGCAACAAAACCCAAGCGCTTAGCACGGTACGGAGGCAACTAGAACAAGAGAACGGCCGTACAAACGCAATCTAGGGTTCATTCGAGCTTAAAGGGTTCCCCAAATCTCAGCGAGACTTGGCGCCCAGCCAATTGCTACATAAACTAGGCCGCACAATAGAGACGGAAAACCAGAAACGAATGGGATCTGAAGCTACATGACACGCAACGGTGATTCGCAACGAAAGGGAACCGCCGTGGAGAAGATGAGAAAGGGAGGGAGGGGAAGAAGACCTGAGCACTTCGTTGTCCCGCTCGGCCTCGCTGACCTCCGCGAGGAAGCTCTTGAGGAGCTGGTCCTCGTCGGCCTCCGACGACCCCATGGAGGTGGTGGAGGGGTCAAACCGATGAGGAGAAGACGCGGTGGGGTCGGGGCGGCCTTCGGGGGGAAGACGGGCGAGACGACAGCGTGCTGCGTCTGCGTGACCTGCGTTCGGATTTGTTGTGCTCCCAAGGTTCCAGCCTTCCAGGTCCCGTCGTCCCGCTCCCGCACTCTTGCTGTGTGCCGGCGTGGGACAGTGGGGTGGGATGGCTTCGGCAGAGTGGGCCGGGTATTTTGTGGGCTGTAGCCCATCGTTGCGCTTGAATTCCAATCGTTTGACATTGTCGAAAAGCGTTTTTTTACATCCTCTAATCTATTTTTTTAAACCGTTCAAATTTGTTTTCCGCATGATTTTGAAAGCAGTTTTGATCAACGTGGCGTGACACCACACTAGCAGTCTTAATGATGCCACATCAGTTACAACGGAGGTAAATCGATCTTGCAGAGACCATTTAGACTTTATCCAAAGAATTATAAAAATATTTTTTCAAAAGATTATCCAAATATTTTTCTAAAAAATGCAACTAAACTCATAAAATTGATCTAATCTTATAAAAATAATATAATATTTGCTTTAGTTTGGAAAAATATGAAACCACTTTCATATTTTTCTTAAAAACATGTTCTATATTATGAGTCCTAGCTTTGAAATTGTTTGGATCTTATATTTTCTCCTTTTGGTGTTTATTTGTTATATGCTCTTATTATCTGTTATAATTAATCTATGTTGATGACCCTCACCATGTAGAAGTTCAACTGACTTCGTTGACAACACATGTGTCATGTAACTGTCTCATACTCGAGATCCTATTAATATGAACACATGTATCACTTGTACATGGTTGCTCTCAGTATGAAAGCACATAGTTATTATCAAAAAAAAATGAAAGCACACAAGCCACCCATTCCCTATGAGCATAAATCTTGAGGTTGACAAATTGACCATATACATCTCGATGTTGACAGTTCATAATATTGTGTTAGCTTATTTCCATATTATTTTCCTTGTGTGGTTGTGTCAATTGTGTGCTAATAATTTGAATCTCGTCAAACAGAATTCATTTGCATGTTAGTAAACAAGAAATGTAAAATAAAGGACGTTTTGTGGTGAGAAATTGACGAAAAAGGAAATGGTATATGTTTATCCTTAAAAGAGGCTCAATATCTTGGTGCAATAAGAAAGAAGATTGTTTCTCAGTGTCTTACCATTAGATTTGAATATATAGCATGCACGCCTACAGTTAAAGAAGAAATATTATGGCTGAGAAATTCTCTTAAATGTCTTGATGTGACTAAGCATGCATATGAGACAACCGTGATCTACTGTGATCACACGGCTTCCATTCTTTTCTTCTCGAAGAATATCATACCATGGGTTGTATGGTGTCATATTGTTATCTAACTGGTGTGGCATATCCGAGTCAATGCATACTATCTATAATAGACGAGAGCATCTACTAGCAAATAAACGCTAGAAGGAGACAACACAATACTAAGATATTTCCAAGTACTATATGATATAGCATGATTTAAGAAAAAAACTGAAACTAGTTTTCAAATTTTTCTTACCTAAAACTTTTTTCTATTAACTTTCTAATGCTAGATTTTAGAATTTTTAATCACATAGTTTTTTGAAAAAAGTATTTAATATTTTTAAAATTACTATTTCTATAATTGTTTATAAAGTCTAATTAACCTTCCTAAACTAAACTAAACTATTAACGTAGTCCAATTTACCTTCCTTGCATTGACACGGCCCACATAGAACAGTTGGTGTGGTGCCATGTCGACTAAGGTTTACTCTTGCTCTCTCTTGTGTCTGCACATTTTCTATTGAAAAAAAGATGAATGTGAGTACAATTCCAAACTAGTACATTTAAATCATTTTCCTCGCTGTCGGGTCTGGTCATGGTAGTTTTCCCCAATATTAAGTTGGATTTGATCTTGCTTATAGCAAACTTCAATTGCGTATGTCGGGTTCATAAACCCGGGGTCCCTCATGGACCGGCTTCCCAACAAAGGTTCGACCCAGCAGACAACGTTACGAACCAACGCGCAAACTCTTGGGTCGGTCCAAATACCTAAACAGCAGGCCAGAAGGACGATCCAATTTCCGACCGGAAGGCCTGGCCGAGGAGGAACGACCCACCTCTCGATCGGAGCGCTCACTTCGGTCTCCAGCCCGCCTCCGGACGGCCTCTCCGACCAAAAGGCCTGGCCAAACACCACTTTCGACTCCGATCCGCTTCTCCGACCAGGGATGCACCGAACCCCTGCTTACAACTCCTCTCCGACTGGCACAATCAGAGCCGACTGGGACCAACCGACCAGGGACGCCCGCTCGGTAAGGACCAGGAAACGGACGGAGAAAGTAAGGCAGCGCACTCAAGTCAACTGCAATACTAAGGACCGTACCCTTTACACCTGCAGGACAGTACCCTGTGACCTCCCTGGTATGACAGAACCCGAGCAGTGTTGTAGGCGCCGACATTTTTCTCTACAGTGTTGTGGGCGCCATCAACTCCTATACCGGACAAAGACGGTAAGGCTCCCCCCACGTGCCTCTGAGGCGTCAACAGTGTTGTGGGCGCCGGCATTTATCGTACCAGGCGAACATGGTAAAACCCCTTGCATACCTCCGGGTATCAACAGTGTGGCAGGCACCGACGTCTGTCATACCTGAAGAAGACAACGCAACCTCCCACGTGCGTCTGACAATAAACAGTATTGTGGGCGCCTACCATCATCTTGTACCCACCGGCGTGGGCAGCAAGGCTTAACATCGTACGTACTCTCTCTCCCCTCACTTGTAAGGCCATCCCCTTCATCTATAAAAGGGATGCGCTCTCTCTTAAAAGACAGTTCATTCAGATCGATCAAGTTCACTAGTACATAACAACATAACCACCAGGTTCAAACCTTGAGCTCACGCTCGAACACTTAGCACATAGCGGAGCTCCCGTCACTCTCGGCCCCTCAGACCAGAGTCCGACCGGACCTCTTGTACCCCCCATCTTTCTCTTCTTGTTTGTAACCCCACTGCAAACTTCGAGCACTTGGGCTCAAGAATAAAGTCACCGACCGACTCAAACTGGGCGTAGGGCACGTTGCTTGAACCAGTATAAACCCTGTGTCATTGAGTGCTAGGCCACCTCCGATCACAACGTACTGCAAAACTACAAATATTTACGTGTTGGTCACTTTCTGCACCGACAGTTTACGCCGTCCATGGGGAAGACGTTGTACGTTCAACACTTTTTGGTCATCGGATGGCCCACTTTTCCGCCACCTTCGCCATGGCGGGCTCAAGCGATATGACTCGCTTTAGCTCACTGGAGTTTCCCGCACTCCCACCTGTTGGGATGTGGGTTCCACCCATCTTCGAGCTGTCCCAGGCCTTCCTCTTCGAAAGCCTAGACTTCATCGCCGACCGGCTCGGCGTACTACACCTCCGCAAGGAGGCACTCGTTCCGGCGCCCGTCGGAGAGGCGCCCTCCATCGGCTCTGGAACGCACGACGACTTCAACGACGAGGCACCTATGCTTCATTCCGAGCAAACTCTCTACTCAAACCCCGCTGTGAGTAATGTACATAATGTTATTTACTCTCTATTTACTATCTTCCGCTGATTATCCGGATAGGCCATATTGTCTGCACCACGAACACCGTATGATCGGTTCCCTTGCGGCCTCGCATCCCCCGCGGACGCGTGCGCTCGGGGGCTCCAAAGGACGCTGGCGCTATCCCCTCTCACATCGAATTCGTGGGAATGGCGAGCTATGCTCCTACCACATTCCATGAACTTCTGGATGATGAGGTTGAGAGCGACGGCTCCAGCATCGGCGACGTGGCACCTAGCCACCGTCCGTCCCGGGAGTACGCTATGGTGGACGCCCCGACAAGCCGTCGGTGGTTGCGGAGTCTGTGCAGACTCACACCCCTCCGGACCCGCGGGCGGGGGCCCTTGCGCTCGCACAAGGGCACGCCGAGGAGCTATGACAATGGTGGTAGAACCAGCCGCCGCCTACGCCAGCATGCTCGGTGCAGCACGTTGCACCCATGCGCCTGACCCGGCGGGCGGCACCCGGGGTCGTGCCCGCCAGGTCCAACGCGACATCATGAACGAGGGGAATGACCCCCCACAGTTCACTCGGGCTAGCCAAAACATCGCCGCTGCGGCAATGCTTCTGTGCGACATTCCCGAGCCCGTCGAACCCCAGGAGCGGGCGGTCTACCGGAACCTCCGAGCGCTGGTAGAAGCCGCCGCCGTTCAACAGGCCAAAAGCTCTGTATCGTGACTCCGACACGTGCCCTTTCTCCCCACTAGGGGAGTGGGAACACACCAGATGGATCGCTCCATCCGCTCACCGCTACAGCCACCAAGCCCGGCTCGGGAGGCAGCGGCTGCGCCGCGGTCTGACCTGGTGCCTTCTAGCGAACAGCCCGATCCGCACCAAGACGCTCGCATCATCATCAGCAATCGGCATCAGGCCCGGCATGATGATGACGTCCACCGGGCGGTGATAAGGGCAGGCGACATGGGTCCCGGCCGAACCATCAAGGGGACTGGTGAAATGCGCCCCAGGCATGGTCACCGGCCAGATGACTAGAGTTCCAGCCCTGAGGGCCCAGGACCATAGGCCTTTGGCCGGCGTATCCGGAGAGCGCCGTTCCCACAGTGCTTCCGACCGCCCACCAACATCGCCAAGTACACCGGGGAGACGAACCGCGGTATTTGGCTTTTAGATTTCCTGCTCGCCTGCCGAGCCAGAGGGGTGGATGATGACCTTTTCATCATTCAATATCTCCCCATCTGCATGGGGGAACATGTTCGGGCATGACTCAAATTCCTCCCGCATGACAGCATCCGTGACTGGGCAGACCTCAAGAGGGTTTTCGTCGGAAATTTCCAAGGGACGTATGTCCACCCTGGTAACTCAAGAGGGGTTTCGTCAGAAATTTCTAGATGGAAGCCATCTAATATGTCGGGCATATCGCGGG